AAAACTCAACAACTTATGGGCAGAAACAGTCTGCTTAGGGGTTTGCATCAAGTACCATGGCTGGGGGGAAGACGAAATCCGACTTTGTATTTCCGTGTCTGTCTGTCTTTGTGTCTCATGTTGTGTTTCTCGGAGTCACTGTCTCTCTCTCTCTCGTGACCCTCTCCGTCTCGCTGTTGTCCAATCTGTGTGTTTATGTACTTCGGTGCTGTCATTCTCGTTGTCTTTTTGTCTCTCCGTATCTTTTCGTCTAATCTGTCTCAGAGGCCACATTTCTGTGTCTCTGCGTGTCTCTGTGTCTATCGCTTTACGTCTGTCTCACGTCTCTACCCTCGTGAAAGCGTCTCGTTCTGTCTGTCCCTCTTTGGGGGCAAGTTTTTCCCACATCCCTCAACATTTACTTCCCAGGCACACCAACTCCTACTTGCTGCACTGCAATTCATAACAACTCCCCCCTGTCCCTCCCCCCCGGCCCCTCCCCTCCCCCCTGCCCCTCCCCACCACACCCCTCCGGCCCCTCCCTCCCCACCCCCCGACCCCTCCCCACTACACCCCCCCGGCCCCCCCGGCACCCCCCCGGCTCCTCCCTCCCCGGCCCCTCCCTCCCTCCCCACCCCCCGACCCCTCCCCACCCCCCGACCCCTCCCCCGACCTCTCCCCACCCCCCGACCCCTCCCCACTACACCCCCCGGCCCCCCCGGCACCCCCCCCCCGGCCCCTCCCTGCCCCCCTCCCTGTCTCCTCCCCACCAAGCCTTCTGTTCTTCCCCACCATCCCCCCGGCCCCTCCCCACCAAGCCCCCGGCCCCCACCGTCAAGCCACGCCTCCAACCACCACCACCAAGCCCTTGCCCCCCAGCCCCTCCCCACCATCCCCCCGGCCCCTCCCCACCAAGCCCCCGGCCCCCACCGTCAAGCCACGCCTCCAACCACCACCACCAAGCCCCGCCCTCGCCACCAAGCCCCGCCCCTCATTAACCCCTGCGCGGCCCCTCCCCCCTGTTAACCCGCGGCGCGTGCTCGTATGATCGGTGACGTCACGCGTGCGAGAGCGCCGCGATTGGCCCCCTCCACCGCACGCGCCGCGGCGCCCACGTCACCTGCGGCCACCTTGCTCAGGGGTTGGTGGTCGGCGAGGCAGCAGCAGCAGCAACAACAACAACATGAAGCCGTAAACAGAGTGTTGGGGGGGGGGCAAGTGCTGTCAGAGAGTAGCGATCACCTCTGAAGGCCGGCACTGTGGCACACAAGGTGGGGGAGGGGGGGGCAACACCACGCCCGGCCGCCTTTGTCTTACCCTAGTGTTTATGTGTTACACATTTGAGGCTGAGTCGATCTCGGGGAGGCCCAGGACCGCTTCAGATAATGGTCACCGGTGGTTTCTGGCCGTGAGCGGGAATCGAACTCGGGTGGCCGGGTTCGTAGCGCAGCAGCATAGCGCGAACTGCGACACTGACGCTCCCCGTAGCAGCAGCAACAACAACAACAGCAGCTGCCACTCGCCACTAAGTGGCGGTGACATCACCAACGCTGCTTGTGTGCCAGGCCACGTGCACTTCGAGGCTGCACGTCAAGTGTCGAGAAGGCTCGCAGCTGGCAGGAAGGTCACGGGCCAGGCCCAGGTGCCTTGTGTTGATGGAGGTGACTGGCAGATGCACCACCTATGCCCCCTACCGTGCCAACGCAAAAGCCCCATTCGTCAACAACACCGACTTTTCGCATGAAAACAATATACTGGATGTGTGTGTGTGAGCGAAGAAGGACCATTGCCCGACACGTCGCCTATTATATATTTTAAGGCAGTGTTGCCGATGGGACCTTTTTGCCAGTATCAAAATTTTTTTGCCAGTATCAAAAAATAAAAGAATGGGCTTTACTTAAAGACAATGCAGATATTACTCGGGTTCTTTCGGTAAAGTCACGTAGAAAATGTTTTTAAATTATTTTTTACGTGACTTTACCGAAAGAACCAAAGAGTAATTCCTGCAGTCACGAAAGCTCCAAATCAAGTTGAATGCAGATATTATTGGAGAATAATTGTTTGCATGTTTTCCACAAAGCATGTGTGGTTTACGCGGACGTAATGCCTTGCAATAGGTGTCTCTTTGGTGTTTGAACATCTTAACACCAGTATTATTGCCAGAAACGGTAAAGACTCATTTTTTTCATCGTTAAGGCAGTGTTGTTGAAGTTGTTGTTAATTGTGCTTGGGCATCATTGCCAACGCAGGAGCATCAAATGATTTGTTTATGAAAGGGCACCGCTCTTCACCACTGCAGGCTTGTGTGTATTGAGAAAATACAAGCACCACGACAGACATGCATGGCTTGGATGGCCTTCATCAAGCAGTTGGATTGGCACTGGGTTGAATTATAACCGTATCAACATATCATTTAGCAGAGGTGGGACAAAGTCATTGTTATGCAAGTCCAAGTCGAGTCTGAAGTCATCAAATTCATGACTCGAGTCTGACTCGAGTCCAAGTCACATGACTCGAGTCCACACCTCAGAGGTGGGACAAAGTCATTGTTATGCAAGTCCAAGTCGAGTCTGAAGTCATCAAATTCATGACTCGAGTCTGACTCGAGTCCAAGTCACATGACTCGAGTCCACACCTCTGTCATTTAGTAGAAAAGTCGGCACATTCGTCAATGGCACTGCGTTAACACACGAGCTATGAAGAATTGAGGACTATTGCCTGAAACGTCGTCTACGAATGTTTATGGATATTTAAAAAATATATATTTTGGCTTGTGCACCACTGCCAAACACAGTATCCCCAAATAATTGTTTAATCACGAAGCATTCGGTAAGCTCCTGCAAGAAGGTATTAGGAGACCCATACCAAGTTGGCCACCTTTTTAACATAGAAAATAAACAGACATCTTCATATATCTGTTGCTCCATATGAAAAAAATTAAGCATTTTTACATATCTTGTCAGCAACACGGAATTCCTTCTGGGTGTGCATATTTTAAAATAGTACTGTACTTCAGAAATTTAAATGACCACTCGACGAGTTGAATGTGGAATTTCCAGCACTGACCAGGGGCTGCCAAGAGCGGTGAGCGTTGCTATACAACACTCCTTTGAGCAAAGCAGACGTCAACTTTTTATCTTAGTTTCATGATAACGATTAAAGCATCATCATCATCATCAGCTATGGTCAATCCACTGCTGGACGAAGGCCTCCCCCTCACTGCCATTTCTACCCTTCCTGCGGATGTAATGAACTTGCTTTACTAACGCTAAATTACTAAAAAGTGCACTATTTTTTTCGTGAATGCGTCACAGATTATTTTTCACGTCCCGTCATTTAAAATGTTGTTATACTATATTTAACGAAGTGGCAATTGAAAACCAATTACGGTGAATCTATTTGTGTTTGGCAGGAACGTGTTCAGGAGATAAATGCCGAATGTCGAGGTCTGCTGCTAGCCACGACGAGAGAGCTTCAGGGGAGAGTTCGTGTCGTTTTGGTTTTCCTCCATTGAAGGGGCCCAGACTACAGGAGTTTACTATATGGTCCATATCTTCTTGGTTCTTTCGGTAAAGTCACGTAGAATGGAAATAATAAAATAACAAAAATAAACATAATAAAATAATTCTCACGACGTTTCGGCCACAACGCAAGCAGCCGTCCTCAGGTGGAGAGCAGGTCGTGAGAATTATTTTGTTATGTTTTATTTTTATTATTTTATTAATTCCATTCTACGTCACTTTACCGAAAGAACCAAGAAGATGAATCCCTGCAGTCACGAAAGCTTTAAATCGAAATATATGGTCCATACTTTTGGTTGGCATGACCACCATCCCACTCCTGTGGCTTGTCTTTAATTAATGTATGTGTTTCTATGGGTTACAGTCGCACTTATGTGGCTTTTCGTTATCTTATCTCTCAGAGTCTCTATGTGTCTATAGGTCCACGACATTGTCCACAATTTTGGGTTGACATGGCCACAATCGCACGACTCAAGGAGGATGTTACACATCGGCCGAGTTGACCTTGTGACATTTTCGGCACGAACTGCGTTTAATGTACCACGAAAAACGTGGTACATTAAACATAGTCAGGGCGTCTCCCACCATCCCCCATCACGACGGCAACAACGTTGGAATCAACAACAACTTCCACTCCAATCTAAGTTGTCTTGTGGTTGTTGTTTGACTTGCACCCCACTGGGATTTTTGCACACAGCGTTGGTGTACGGTGCTTTTTCTGCAATATTTTGCTGTCTTTTCTTGGATTTTCTGTTTGCACATAGTCACATAGTCACTTTAAGATGGTTTCTTGTTCATGCTTTTTTTGTTTGTTGCGGTTGCACCCGATTCAAGAGCCGAATAGCTCACATGCCTCTACCAAATAAACGAAACTGAAAAACTGAGAAACTGAAACTAAAACTCTCCAACACCTTTTTTTACAAGGAGTCATGTTTGCATTGACCACAATACCTGCAGTCGGAATGCAAAAAAAACACAACTCTGATAATGTATGCACTGTCCTTGAAATTGATTGGTCCACACCCGAGACAGCTTTCTTTAGAGCCTAGTCTCACATGGTGTTGGACCAGATGACGCCAGATAAAAGGGTAAAAAAACAATTATCATATTTTGTTACTGGCAAATGAGGTTCCAATGAGGTAAAACTCTCCATTCACCTTTTCGATTTAAAGCTTTCGTGACTACAGGGATTCATCTTCTTGGTTCTTTCGGTAAAGTCACGTACAATGGAAATAATAAAATAATAAAAATAAAACATAATAAAATAATTCTCATTCACCCTCTCTTCTCTCCATTCACCCCCTCGTCTTGCCCTGACCCAACATGGGCGGTGGAGGCGGCTTCAGTGACGTCACCGCCGCTTGGGCTGCCCCCGCCCCGCCCCCTCTAGCCGCGTGCGGGGGGGCGGGGCGAGGGGTGCGGGGGGCGGGGCGAGGGGTGCGGGGGGCGGGGCTAGGGGTGCGGGGGGCGGGGCTGGGGGGCTCTCACCGTCGGGGTTACGAGGAGGCATTGGCAAACCACACGAGGCGATCGCGTTGCTGCTGCTGCGACTGCTGCTGATACTGCTGCTGCTACTGCTGCTGTTGTTGTTGCCTGCGACTGCTGCTGCTGTTGTTGTTGCCCGACACGACACGGACAAGAGAGAGAGAGGTGAGTTGTGGCCAAGCCTTCGTCCACAAGCCGTGAGAAGGAAGTCAACGCGCGGTGTGAGTGCAACAAGTGGCCTGGGCTCTCTGTGTTGTGTGTGTGTGTCTGTGTTGTGTGTGCGTGTTGTGTGTGTCCGTGTTGTGTGGCGTGTGGCTGTGTTGTGTGTCCGTGTTGTGTGGCTGTGTTGTGTGTCCGTGTGTCTGTGTGTCCGTGTTGTGTGTGCGTGTTGTGTGTTGCGTGTCCGTGTTGTGTGGCGTGTTGTGTGTTGTGTTGTGTGTGTCCGTGTTGTGTGGCGTGTGTCTGTGTGTGCGTGTTGTGTGTCGTGTTGTGTGTCTGTGTGCGTGTTGTGTGTCGTGTTGTGTGTCTGTGTTGTGTGTCGTGTGTCCGTGTTGTGTGGCGTGTTGTGTGTTGTGTTGTGTGTGTCCGTGTTGTGTGGCGTGTGTGTGTGCGTGTTGTGTGTGTTGTGTGTGTGTTGTGTGTCTGTGTGTGTCTGTGTGTGTGTTGTGTGTGTGTGTTGTGTGTCTGTGTGTGTTGTGTGTGTCTGTGGTTGTTAGTCGGACGATGCCGCCGCAGGTAACTTTGCGAGACGGTGGTTCTGGCACCAGCAACAGGCGGCATCGTCTTCTCCAGTTTCATTCCTCATCCTCGTCTCGTCGTGGTCCCCTTACGTAATGGTGATGCCGCGTTATCTAACAACGCGAGGTGTGTGTGTGGGGGGTTTACTCTGTCAGCAACATGACGAGGTTCATGACGATGGAAGCGATGATTGTGATTTATCCCGTAAATTGTATTCAGTAATTAGGTTTTGTTGCAACAAGTGTGCCAGCAACGCCATTGATAACAACATCGATTGTGACGACGACGACCATCTTCGTCTTCGTCGTCAGCTGCTGTATAGACGGGGGGGGGGGGGGCGTGAGTGGTAACTCTGTGGCACAGAAGCGATTGAATGTTCGTGGTGGTGGTGGTGTCTGATGGAGCTGCTGCTGTATAGAGGAGGAGGGGGGGCGTGAGTGGTAACTCTGTGGCACAGAAGCGATTGAATGTTCGTGGTGGTGGTGGTGTCTGATGGAGCTGCTGCTGTATAGAGGAGGAGGGGGGGGCGTGAGTGGTAACTCTGTGGCACAGAAGCGATTGAATGTTCGTGGTGGTGGTGGTGTCTGATGGAGCTGCTGCTGTATAGAGGAGGAGGAGGAGGGGGGGGGGGCCGTGAGTGGTCACTCTGTGGCACAGAAGCGATTGAATGTTCGTGGTGGTGGTGGTGTCTGATGGAGCTGCTGCTGTATAGAGGAGGAGGAGGAGGGGGGGGGGCCGTGAGTGGTCACTCTGTGGCACAGAAGCGATTGAATGTTCGTGGTGGTGGTGTCTGATGGAGCTGCTGCTGTATAGAGGAGGAGGGGGGGGGGGGGGCGTGAGTGGTAACTCTGTGGCACAGAAGCGATTGAATGTTCGTGGTGGTGGTGGTGTCTGATGGAGCTGCTGCTGTATAGAGGAGGAGGGGGGGGGGGCGTGAGTGGTCACTCTGTGGCACAGAAGCGATTGAATGTTCGTGGTGGTGGTGTCTGATGGAGCTGCTGCTGTATAGAGGAGGAGGGGGGGGGGCGTGATGGTAACTCTGTGGCACAGAAGCGATTGAATGTTCGTGGTGGTGGTGGTGGTGTCTGATGGAGCTGCTGCTGTATAGAGGAGGAGGAGGGGGGCCGTGAGTGGTCACTCTGTGGCACAGAAGCGATTGAATGTTCGTCGTCGTGGTGGTGGTGGTGTCTGATGGAGCTGCTGCTGGGCCCTCTCCCCTCCACGTCCACCCACGTGGAGCCTCAACCCCCATGGCCGAAGGCCCCCCCCCCCCCCCCCACATAGTCAAAGAAGGAATCTCTGAGTTCTTATTCAAACGTCGTTTATTGTGAAAATTCGGTCACAGTTCCTACGGCCACTGTTTCATTGCTTTCATGGCTTTATTTTGGTGATTTTCGAAAAGTTTTTTGGTTTGGCCATGTTTGTTTGTTGTAGTACAGAGTTAGACTGATGGCCTTAATCTAAGTTGTCTTGTGGTTGTTGTTTGACTTGCATCCCACTGGAATTGTTGCACACAGCGTTGGTGTACGGTGTTTTTTCTGCAATATTTTGCTGTCTTTTCTTGGATTTTCTGTTTGCATTCAGTCACATATTCACTTTAAGATGTTTTTTGTTCATGTTTTTTGTTTGTTGCGGTTGCACCCGATTCAAGAGCCGAATGGCTCACAGGGCTACACCTAATAAATGAACTTGAACTGAAGCAAGGGGGGCTGGCTGGCTGGCTGGGGAGACGTCAGTCTTTCACTTCTTTAAACTTGAAAACTCGTCGTCTTAACACGAACAAACCCGACCACTGGCACGGGACGGGTGGCTCACGGGGGCGTCGTTTCACGCTCGAGTCGACGGGGACTTCTTGGGGGGGGTCGCTACTTGAGAGGCCCCCCCCCCCCCACAACACCGCAGGCCAGGTCTGTCGGTCTCACGTCGTGGCTTTTGTGGTCAAACAACGCGATTCGTGTTGTATACAGCAACCAGCTGGCCTATGCCCATCCTGCTGCTGCTACGTGAGCTGGGTCGTGCATGGAACACCACCAACAACAACAATGCCGTGGTGTTGTGTACAAAGTTGTTTGGTTATTGACGTGGTGAGACGGGTACTGTGGATTAACAGAAACCGTGCTGCTGTTTAGCAAGGAGGTGTGTATATCGTCTGCTTGCTTATCTATGTTGCCACTCATAGTTTCCACGAAGACGCTCAGGATTATTTTGTGTTGTGTATAAGATGATATTGCGTCGAGTAAGGACCCCGTGAATGAAAGAGTGGGGTCCCCTGCCTGTAACATCGGACTCCTGATTAGACTCTGAATGTCGACACCGGTCCAGTCTTTGCTTGTATTGGGTCTTGTATGAAGGGGACGCATTGCACTGCTCATCTCTTATGTATAGACACGTGTTTTAGGACGACGTTTTGGGTATCAGAAGGCTATGCACCTTCGCGAACCAACCGTGACCAGTGCGGTGAAGTATGGTCAAATCATCCTTCACACTTCACAGCCTCGGGGGTGGGCTTCAGCAGTTTATTAACAACAGGGTGTGCAACACAAAATTACACATCATCATTATCGGTGAGGCACTTGTAGATTTCTCAGTGTTTGTGATGACATCTTAACCGCTGACATTTGGAGAATTAAATCCGTCAGGACATCTGCGACGTATACTTTATTTTTTTAAAGAGAATGAAACAAAACATTGCCTACTAATTAATCATGATGACACACTCCAGAGGTCACCGGTTTGCTCGCCTGTCACGGAACTCGAGACAATGGGCAGATTTATTAGAATCCTCTTGGCTCTTGTGCACCCAGCAATATAAATCGGTGCGCCACAGGCAGATCGTGTGTCGTGGGGTCAAGTGACGACAATTCCTACCTCTTCCAACATGTCAGAGTAACTCTACAGAGCTAGTCACCGAGTGTAGTGGTGTGAGCATGAAATTGCAGGGCTGCACCTTTACCTCGTATAAACCCAATTACTGGCAAACCTTATCGCGTCGTAACTATCAAGAGGTCCTTTGCGAACAGTGCAGAGACGACCCACACCTCGACTCCGATCACTCAAAATGCGCCCCAGTCTCGTCAGATGTTGTAATTTAAGCAAGATGAAGCGAGGTCAGTGCAGCAAAATCCATTGTTGCACTGTCATTCTATGCTGCCACGTGTATGCTAGCTACCATTTCTTTCACCAGCACGCACTGCCCAGTGTGGTGAAAAATGGTAAACAAAAATAACATGCACGGCTCGCATGCCGTGGGGAGTCCGTCATTCAGCGGTGGATTGAAAAAAGGGCTGTACATGTACAACACCGAATCCACACATCTTCATCATAGCCATGATGGGCCCACTGCGGGATAAAGGCCTCACAAAAATGTCAATAACCGGTGAACTGGTAACAATTGTCATAATCGCTAGTCACGAACCGATAACGATTCCACTGGAATGTTGGAAATGGAAGCACGTGCCGATAGTTCAAGCAGTGGCGGCAGCCCGAAGTGTAAATGGTGTCTGGGTAAATACAAGTGTAATGCGGTTGTAAACGGCCCTTCTGAGGTGCCGTCAGGGGGGGAGGAGTTAGGTCACGTGGGGGGAGAGGGGTTGAGTATAGAAGGAGGGGAACCGGAAGAGCAAGGGGAGTGACGGGGAACCAGGAACAGAGGAAGGCCACGAAGGGCGAAGCGGGGTGTGGCGAGATCGCCACGAACACGGGGGGAGCGAGGATCGGCACCGTTGGCCAGCGGTGACCGACCCGAAGCAGCGAGGAGGCTGCAGTCAGCAGCGGGGCTGCACAGAGAGAGTGGGCAGCGGGTCTGCATACAGTGACAGCCAGAGGGTCTGCACATAGGGGTAGCAGCAAGTCTGCAGGGAGGAGGTTACAGTAGATGAAGCAGAGAGTCAGAGGGGTGAGGAAGCTATAATAGCAGTGAATAGCCGGGGGCTACAAATACAGGAGTTATAACAGAGTGCCGTGTGGGTAAAGACGTGAACCTGAATAAAGACACGAAGACAGAAAGAAGTGTTCGAGTCCTTTTATTACACTGGAGTCAGAAGTGAAACGGCATGGCGAAACAACTGAGGAAGAAGAATATCCCATCTCCGGCGTCGGCTTCATCATCGGACGACGACGATCTTCCTCCTGAGGTCGGCTTCACTTCGGCGGAGGGAGAGATCCGTGAGGGCCCGGGTGTGGAGGAGGTTGCCGCTGCGCCCGACCCATCTGCGTTGAAGGACGAAGATTTAAGATGGACCCGGATGGCGGAGCAACTGGCGACCCTAAAAACCGTCATCACGGAGTTGTGTGACCTTGTCACGCCAAGGGCGGCGTTGGAAGGTGATGGTGGTGATCGGCAGGAGCCCGGGTCGTCTTCGATGGCGCCGCCATCGACCACGCGGCGTGAAGACGCCATCTTGGGCGTGGCGCACCACGGAAGGCGG